ATGGGGACAGGTTAGGGATGCAGGGGCCAGGATGCAGAGCTGGATGCAGGGGCAAAGGGACAGGCTAGGGATCCAAGGGTGAGGATGCAGGGATAGGGGGCAGAGGATACAGGGATAGGGACAGGTTAGAGATGCAGGGACCAGGATGCAGAGACGGGGATGCAGGAATAGGACAGGGGACATGTTAGGGAGGTAGAGGTGGGATGCAGAGATGGAAGACATGGGCACAGGGGACATGGGGACAGGTTAGAGATGCAGGGGCATAGGGACAAGTTGGAGATGCAGAGATGGGGGACATGGGGACAGGGGACATGGGGACAGGTTAGGGATGCAGGGGCATAGGGACAAGTTGGAGATGCAGAGATGGGGATGCAGAGGTGGGGACGCAGAGATGGGGACACACAGGCCCAGGACAAGGGCTGCGGGTCCGGGCCGAGGCGGGGGCCGCCCGACGCGCTGTGGTCCCTCGGCAGAGCTCATCCAGACGGAGATCCACCACGTGCGCACGCTCAAGATCATGGCCAACATGTTCCGCAAGGGGATGCTGGAGGAGCTGCAGCTGGAGCCCGCCACCGTGCAGAGCATCTTCCCCTGCGTCGACGAGCTGGGCCAGATCCACGAGCGCTTCCTGGCCCAGCTCCTGGAGCGCCGCAAGGAGTCCCTGGCGCAGGACAGCAACAAGAACTTCGTCATCAACCGCCTCGGCGACATCCTCGTCAACCAGGTGGGCCGGCGCGGCGGACGGGGCGGCGGGGCCGGCGGCGCTCTGTGCTGACCCGCATCACTCCGCAGTTCTCGGGCGCCGGCGCGGAGCAGCTCAAGAAGGCCTATTCCGAGTTCTGCAGCCGCCACAACAAGGCCGTGAAGCTCTACAAGGAGCTGCTGGCCCGGGACAAGCGCTTCCAGCAGTTCATCCGGGTGAGCGCGCGGCGCGGGCGGGCGGCAAGCGGGGAGGGCTCCGGCCGGGACGCCTCATCCGCGCGCGCCCTCCCGCAGAGGATGACGCGGTCCCCGCTGCTGCGCCGGCACGGGGTGCC